CGGGGATCTAGAGTAAACGCCAAACAAACTTAACACAAAGACCAATATGAACATTACTTCCAACATCAGAACATCATCATCGCCACCATAAATAATAATCATCATGATCACCATCACAATTACCCTTACCGTCACCGTCATCCTCATCATCATCATCATCATCATCATCATCATCATCATCATCATCATCATCATGATCACCGACTTAACAATTCCCCTTTTTCTTGTTTCGATTTTCTAGAAAACAACAATTTGCACCATGTCAATACATTCTTACGTAACCAACAAATATGGGCACGGGACTTAAAAAATCAGGACACGGGACATAAAAAAGTGCCCCAAAACAACGTTGTCGATTGACTTGAATGGACGTCGTCATCGAGTTGATATTTTTTAATGGCACGTCACCAGTCCATCGGTCTCACCCTTCATACATAATCTGTCAGTAAAAAAGCTACCACAATCCAGTCCACGCAAAAACATATCAATTTTTCACATTGAATACTCGCATATGCATAAGCGGACAGAAAGGTAATCTTAGAAGAAACAATACAATATAGCCCACAAGCACCAAGGCAGCAAAACGCACCACAGCAAAAACAAGTACACGAGCTACAAAAAGCAACCTCTCCACCCACCCTTACCCCCAGCCCAAATAAATCAACAAACGACTTACAGAAACAAACAAAACGGTGCAAAAAAGCAATAACATTTCGGCTAAGTTTAGTTTAGTTTTAGAAAGAGGTTTAAGAAGTCAAAGAAGTGGTAAAAATGAGAGGCGTAACAAGGTAGTTACATACAAGAATAGAAGGAAGAGAGATAATGAAGACAGATGTTTGATAAGGTAAGTAGGAGCAAACCACACCACAGCATCTGCTAACCATCTGCAAAGGAAATAAGAAGCAGTTTAAACAACAACAATTTCACAAAACATATAGATATAGACGAATCAACAAACAATCAAAGAAGAGTAGGGCCCTACAAAATAACAACAAGCACAACCACAAGCCAAAAGAACAACAACGAAAACAACAGCCAAAAACAGAAACAAAAACGTTTACAAAGACACACGGATTAAGCATACAACTTGCAACAACAACAACAACAACAACAACAACAACAACAACAACAACAACAACAACAACAACAACAACAACAACAACAACAACAACATACAAAACAACAATATTGGGAACAAAAAACAGCACCACCAAGAACGTAAGCAAATCAACAAACAGCGAGACAACAACAACTACAACTACAACTACAACTACAACAACAACAACAACAACAACAACAACAACAACTCCTAAACATACCCTCACTCCCTTGTGCGTCACAGATGTAGAGCGTGGAGTACTGGTGCAGTCTAAAGTCGTAACGATGCGAGTACGTCTTCACAGATCGGAACCTTCCTCTCTGTTGTCTCGGGTTGTGGTGGCGGGGACAACGGCAGTCAATCTGGACAGATCCACAGGAACAGACCGCAATATTTTGTTAGAAACAGAAAGAAAAATAAAACAAAAACGAAAGCCACAAAAACAATATTAAAAAACAACGACAAAAAACAAGCAAACATTTTTTTAAAAAGCACCCCCTCACAAAAACAGCAAGGCGACAAACGAAAGAAAAAACATGAAGGTGGGGGTATGGGTCTATCCACAATTGTGGTGACGTACATAAATTATAGCCTTAAAAAGGAAGACCACATTAACAAATATTTTGTTGAGATTTTAATATTGCCCATAGTAATAGTCATGACATTGCTACTGCGGAGAAAAAACAAAATAACGACGTATTCACAAAAAGGTACAGTGACTGGATCACTAATTATCAGATCATTGATACTTGGCAGTGTGTACACAGTGAATAAAAGTTTCGCTGGTCGAGACCACCACCATTTACAGCACTTCGGCTGGACTGTGCGTAAAGCCGAGTTGTTTCCCTTTGCAATATACAGTGATACGAATCGTAAAGCAGTAATGTTATAGCTACTGTTCGTACGTACTGGGGGTTAAATAACTCTGTCCTTAGCGACAAATATTATTGTAGGGTTATCATTTTAACTTAATGGAAAATGGAAAAACGCATAATCAAATATTTAGGTGGACAACGGGTGAAAAAAACCTCCAAATATTTGATGGGAACTTTTAACAGCGATAAAGTCAAACACGATTGAATAATAATGTGGTGTGAGGAAGTGCAGAGCGCTCAATATAAAGGAAAAATCTTATTACAGAACAACTTTTAAAACTAAATGATTCAGTTGTCAGAAACCCTCAGGATATTACATAACTCAGACATTTTGAATTTACAACGAAAGAACTAGAAATTTCGACTGCATAAGACCCGGGGGTGGAAATCACCCGGGCAGTGGCAGTTACTATTTTGTGCTTTTCGTAGCAAAGTTTCTAGATAGAAAGAGAGGAGCAGCGGCCATGACAATGCACAGTTTAAAAATTATAAGTCTTTGGTGGTCCCAGTCGAAGAAACTGTAAAACAAGCTTAGAATTTACCCAGGCCTTTAAACTTTAGAAAGAGGTAGGCACGTGAAAGATCGATTGAGGGAATCAAGAAAACCCTGGAAAACTAAAACATTGTAACTAAAAGAGCTGCAGGGTTAACCTACCACAGAAAATTATATCTCCCTCCCCTCGACTCTGAAAGTCTACAGAAGATGAAAATGAAAAAGTATAAGTAAGTATAAACCATGACGATGTTGGGTTACTTCTGCTTATTCAACTTTTCTCTCGACAATGGATGGTCGTCTTGGAAAGGTTCTACTGTAATCGATGAAATGTCTTCCCCATTATTACTTATATGTTATGGATATAACCGAGAGACAAACCGTTATGCTTCTGGCGTGAGTGACTCATCTGTTCTCGTCTGATTTCCTCTCGAAGTACAGTTGTTGTTTTTTTGTTTGTTTTTTTGTTTGTTTGTTTGTTTTTTGGTTGTTCTTTTGTTGGGTTGTTTGTTTGTTTGTTTTTTTGGGGGGAGGGCTGTTGGTTTGAGTTAAGAGAAGTACATAAACACGGCAATATTCATTTATTGCAGGGACAAAGAAAGTCAGACAGACAAACAGACAGAAGCGACAAAGGGAAAAGAGAGACGTATGACCTACCAGTGGCACCCTCAAACCGTCCGTGCAAGTTTTCTAAAAGACGTAATTGTGTTCAAATTATGCTATGAGATGAGTATGAAGCTTCTATTCATAATTTGCATAAAATTGCCACTAGATATATAAGTGAAACGTTTATATTCAAAGTTGGTATAAAACTGTAAATCTACGAATATGAAGCCTCTTTTCTTAGTTCCGTACAAATTATTGCAAACAATCATAAATCACAATTCTGAGTGACATTGCTAAAATATGGTAAAAGCTTCAAACTTATCTGTCTGCCTTCCTATCCTTCAGATCGACTTAGGTCCAACAGGTTGTCACATGCACTTACAGCGCACTGGGTGACCTTGATATCTAACTTTAGATTGAAAATAGACATTTTTTAAATAGTTTGCTCAAGTTTTAAAATATGGCATCAAATCAGGTTCCTCGTGAGCCACTTTGCTTATTTTGATACGCCGATTTCGAAAATGAAATCATTTGTTCAAACGCGAGTTATTTTGTTATTTTGGACACGCTGGTTCCGAATTTGATTTTTTTATTTTTTTACGATTAGATAAAGTTTTAAACGTTTTATTTAAAAATCTGTATTTCGGGCCGCTGGTGTATCGATACCATCATCAATACCATCACGACGAGGTATTCGCTTAGGGCAGTCTCTGTTCCCCGGACAAATTTTTTCCTGTTTTTAAAAATAGAGTCTCTGTTCCCCGGTGCTCCGGTCACACATACATGGGTAGTCAAATCTGCTCTAACGACCACCTGTCCGAGACAATCACCTGTACAAAGGACCACTTCCTATTTCCCACATGTGCTGTTTAAATATTAAAGTGACATTGTCCAAGACGTCTACTTGCCTTAGGCAACCACTTTTCTCTTCGACAATGGGTGGCCGTCTCGGATAATTTGGGGGCGTTATTGGCAGAAGATATTCTGAGACGTCTCTGGCACGCACCTAGGAACTATTCGGAGACGTACTCCCTCAGACAGATGCACTGGTTTAGGGGTCAAACTGCGTATTATTTGCTGCAGATCTCACATATAGCCACAAAACTGTCGCAAATCATTTATTTTCAAGAAAATGTCAAACCTAACTGCAAAATGTCAAACCCTCCCAGATTTTATTTACTTGGCCCAGAGGCACAAAGCATTTTGATTGGTCCTTCTCCGTCGGAGTCGTTTCCTGATAGATACTGTTGATACCGTGAATTTTGGACTGGATGACCTACCCTGTAGTAGGTTCTTCCACCAAACTGCGCTGAGTTCTGTTCCGCTGTGACGGCTGTGGGCGGGACCATACGGTTCCTCACCAGCTGGCGCGGGACATTGCTGCAGTACGGTAATGTACACGTCGGCTCGCACGTATAGCGCCTGGGGGAGAGACACGGCAAGATACAGCGGTTGTTGTTGCTGTTGTTGTTGTTGATGTTGTTGTTTTTTTGTTGCTTTTCGTTGTTGTTGTAGCCGTTGTTGTTGTTGTTGTTGTTATTGTTGTTGTTTGTTGTTGTTGTTGTAGCTTCTGCTGCTGCTGCCACTGCTGCTGCTCCTACTGCTGCAGTCGCTGCTGCTGTTGTTGTATTTAAGATAGATAATAAATATAGGTGTTTTACGCCCTTGCGACACATTCAAAACATTTAGGAGGTGGGCTTCAGCCCTGCCTGCCTGTCATGGTCAACCCGGGCTGAGAGGGTTACAACATCGCAGCAGAAAGACCGAGATACTAAATAAAAATTCTCCTCTGTTCGGGAATAGAATTCGAATCTCCTGTGTGCGATACAATAATATAAACAGTGATGTTGAAGACTAAAAATGATGACAACATTACTCATAACGGTGCTGTAAGTAAGTAAGTGTATACGTTTAACGCCCCTATCAACACTATGAAACTATTTAAGACCTCTGAAGTTTACGTGCGTCTCCAATAGGACCGAGCCAAATGGGTTCAGAGTCTTGAACTTTCCACCAAACGACCTGAGTTGAAGAACGTCCAGTCTGGGATTCGAACCGCTTCGTAGACCAGCAGGATATCAACTGAGCTAACGAAACGTCTCTTATGAGTAGTGATGAAAGTGATGACACCATTAATGATAATGATGCTGTGGGTGATGTTGAGGATGATGACGATATTAATTATAATAATGCTGTAGGTGATGTTGAGGATGATGACGATATTAATTATAATGATGCTGTAGGTGATGTTGAGGATGATGACGATATTAATTATAATGATGCTGTGGGTGATGTTGAGGATGATGACGATATTAATTATAATGATGCTGTGGGTGATGTTGAGGATGATGACAGCATTAATTATAATGATGCTGAGAGTCATGTTGAAGATGATGACATCTAATAATCGAATATTTCCTCCCTCAATGTATGTCAAGGACAAATACATCCGCAAAAGAGCGTATTATTCTCAAGCAAAATAGAAGTATTTTGAGAAATAAAGGTTGAGGAGAGACTTGTAGCTTCTGTGATGGCCACAGTCCTTCATGATGACAACAGTATTCAAAAAGATCATGTAGAGGATGTAGAAGATGGTGACAACATTAATCACGATGATGATGTTACTGGTGTAAAAGATAATAACAACATTAATCATAATTACGATGTGACTGATATAGAAGAAGATGACAATATTAACCATTATGATATAATGAAGAAGTAAGTGTATACATTTAACATCAATCAAAGTAATATTGTAAGGGATGTTGAAGATGATGACAATGATAAAGACGACCACGATGACGAGGACAACGAGGAAAAGGTGAAGGCTCAAATTTTATTAATCATTCCCCTTACGTATGCTTCTTGGAGGCGTATATCTTGTGAGCATCGTTGTTGTAGGGACACACCGTATTGCCCTGACACTTGCAGTTGTGTAGCGTCCTCCTCTCTTCACACCTGGTGCCGTTGTACCAGTCCCGAACATGCTCAAACACATCGGCACACACAGCACGGGCCGGGCACGTCATGTTTTCATTTCGCTATGAAGAAGAATTAAGATCAATGATCTTTGAAAACATAAATTTATTATAAAATTATAGTACATATACACATGTTTATAGTCTAGCAAGCACTCAGCGAACATGCACATAGGGAACAAAATATCAGATCACCAATACTTAAAAAACAACTTATTCCTTGTTTCAAAAACACGCCCAAAGCGCAATCAATTCACACATAGCGAAATAAATCGGAGTAAGCAAGGATAAATCTAATATTAAATATGACCGTGTATTTCTTTTACCGAAGTAGCCGTGATGAGAGAA